ATTTTTTTAAACTAATGTTTTATATTGACACAACACTTTTTGCCAGAGGTTCTAGGAATGCATAGCCTTCCTAGTGGCAGGGCGGGGGGGTGATATTTGGGGGTCTTTTGTCCAAAATTACAGATTTTATTATAAAGCAACACACTAAATTACTTGGCAAAGACCTACTCTGTATAATAACAATATCCACATGAGTAGGGGAAGATCCAGTTGGCTAGAATTTTTCAGTTGAAAGTAAGAGTTATTTTTAAAAAGTAAAGTACAATATAGAAAGTCTATCTAAAACATTCTATGCAGTCAGACCAAGTGAGATAATAGTAATCTGGGTATCAAAAGATCCTTAAACATGCACGAACAAACCCAAACAAACTAAAACCAGTACACATGTTAAGGTTAAAATTAATCTCACCATATGCCAATACACTGCAATTTACACTAAAATAGCTTCACAAAACATTTGAGAAAAGGAGTTCATTAATTTACCAGAAATAAAAACAAAACAGTACAATGTGATTGAAACTGCACTCAAGATACCCAATACTAAAATAAATGTATCTACATGGTGCACAGCTACAAAATTATTAACACTATTCATGTAAACATTATTGTCTTACACTGTAAGGGACCATTTTTTAAAAAAAATCGTCTTCTTTAAATCAAAAGGATTAACTTATGGAGCAACAGGGTCTTATATTTGAGCAATATGTTCTTTTATAGTTCCTGCCGCGCTGTCTCACAATAGTCAAGCTAAAGGAATGGCAGGAGAAACTTAAACATGAACAGGGATATTAAATGAGCTTCTAGCATTGAAAGTTATTGCAAACTGATCTCTTCCTTATTAATACAATTCCCCATCATGTACAAAAAGATATCTCCATGTTCCAGAATGCAAACAGAGTTTAATCTTTAATTATATTCTCAACTTCAGCCCTTCTGGAGAGAAGTATAGGTGTGGGCCTGAGGATTATTCTTTTATTACATTATCATCTCCATGGTATTTAATGAATATTGATACTTAATACTGCCTTGCCAGTAGGGGGAAAGCAGAATTTTAGAACTGCACGAAGAACTTTCCGTGACTTTTGTCAAAAAGCAAGGAAAACAGGCAGGCACTTTGATCTTTTACTCCAAAATACTTTTAAGAAGAGGCCAAAATGATAGCCTGGAGTTCCTAATTCTGGTCAAGACTGTGCAAATCTGCATATTAAACAAGCACCTTCTCCACAGCCAGCGTATCCTGTGTCGGACTGAATTGGAACGTCAAATTCTTGGCCTCAAAGTATGAATCCCTGGCTGGGATTTCAGACCTCTCTAACACAGCGAGGTCAGACTAAATAAATATAATTTAAACATATGGTCTTTAAATGAATATTTATTGGCTTAAACACGCGTTGCCATTATCTGCAAAATACTCTTTCTCTTGTAATGAAAATCCCGAACCTAGGAAGTAATTAGATGCTGTTTACAAAACAAAATGCTGAAAGAAACTTTCCTTCAAAAATGCTTGGCAAAAGGTTCATCGGGATTTTTCATAGTGTAAATATGGTAATTTACACCAGTTCAGTTCCAAATAATATTCTGGCACATCTGATCACTGAGTGTATGGTTTATATGCACACATACCTTTCGGTTAACAGTTAAAAACAGTACCTTATTTTAGAATACTATATTTTATATTAAGTTCTTTCCTCAAGACAAACCGGTCTTTCTCGAGAAAAGCTCTTAAGCAAACAAAATAGAACCACATAATGCTACTTATATGAAAAGAGTGATTAAACCCGACAGGGTGTCAATACTACAAAAAAAGCAACGTTTTGCCCGTTCGCCTACCAAGCTATGGTAAGAGCACAGTGGTACCCGTAAGTTTATTTTCCAAGTCCACATGACTAGGTATCTGCTGGGCGGTCAAGCAAGCTTTTCAAGAGGGCTGCTCACTGAAGAGCTGCATCTCAGTAGAGCAGCTGCCAAGGTTGGAGGCACCGTGGACTTCTTTTGAATACAGCCATCCTCTCTGGAAGATATAGGGAGGGAGAATGGAAGCTTTATACAATAAGCTCTGAAAGCTGTTTGGACAAAAAAAAAAAAAAAGTGCATTAATCCAGGCACTTAAGCAGATGGACAAAAGTAGGATTGATTCAAATGAGTACTAACTAACTCTTATTTTGCATTTTTAACAGTGAATCCAAGTGGTTTACAAGCATCACTTCTGCTTTATGACTGACAAAAAGGAGATAGAAGCCAGAGACCTCCAGGTGTCCCCCAGCACAAGGGGCAGAAGTAAAACCTACCCGTCCAGGTCTACGATTAGGATGCTGTTCTTGGCTTTGTGTTCCTCATTTGCCTTTTTGCAAGATATAGGACTACAAATTTTGGTCTACTCTCAGCAGAGCTCAAATTCAGAGATTTCTACTCAAGCTAGCTTCATTGCCAGGTCAGGGAATACACCAGAGCACGAGAGCTTTACAGGACAACCTGAGGTGCTCTACAACAAAAACAAAAAAACAAACTACTCATTTTCACCCAACGGTCCCTACGCACTGAGCGTGAAGCCCAACACGCACCAGTCTTCCATTGCTTAGTGCTCTTATTTCCCCTCAACCACAAATGTCAGAGCAAACCATCTAAAAAGGAATCACGGAGGGCAAGAGTCTCAGCACCAAGAGCTGCGAGGAAGGGCTTGCTCTGGTCACTCCTTCCCAAATAAAGGAAGATAAATGGATCATCTGGGAGCTCGGAGAGCCCCACATACCAGAGCTATCAAGGTCATGGGCCTCTCAGCTGAGACCCCTAAATTTTCCTACCGATCCTAGGAGACTCTCCCTGTGGATGCAAGTGTGAGAGCACAAGCAGCCTCTCGCGTCTCTTCCCATCCCCTCTTGGTGCTCTGCAGGTGTCGGGTCTCAGCAGACAGGGTGCCGGTGACGCCGTTGGGGACACCGCGCTGGCACAGGCTGCAGGGGCCACCACACGCAGACCTGGGGGCTTCCCGCAGCCAACGGGCACTTGCTGCTAAAGGAAATAACACACCATGAACAGAGCCTGTTAGTACATTTCAAGGGGGAAAAAATAACGCAAGAGCTCCTGATTCTTGGCGGTGCTTCCGAGCAGAAGCAGCAGCCCTGCTTTTCCGCAGCGCTGCCCGGCTCCGCTTCGGCGGCGCTGGAAGGAACGACAGCTTCAGCACCCGAGGAAACAGCACGGAGCCTGCGCCAGAAGGAGGGAAGGAGAAGCCAGATGCGAGGCACGCGAGGGAACACGGTGACGAGCGCGAAGGCAGAGCGGGGATGGAGAGAGAGGAGGCAGCAGTTAGTCATTTTCTCCTATGGATCCATTTGGCTAGAAATAAGACACGGATCAATCTAGTTTCCTCCCTCCACCTTCCGAGGCAGAGAAAAGCAGGCTGGAAAAGCAAACACGAAACCAAAGGCCTCTTCAAAATGGAGACCCAGCGGGAGCTGCTGAGGTGCCGCCTGGTGCGTTAGAGCCTGGCCAAACTTGGCAACTATCGGAAGCCTTCGGATAAGATCAGCAAGGAAAGGAGGATTATACTGCTAATGGCTGCATTAAATAACTCAAAATTGCTGCTGATGTTTTAAATATCCACATATTCTAGGTGAACGCACCATTGAAGGAAACAGAAATATCATATGCAGATAAAGACATATACAACCTTTAATGTGTTTATTATATATCTCCCCATTATGATTTAAACAGACGCAACTCTTCAGAGTTTTTAATTTGACATCAAGTAGGTAACTACAGATATTTTTATACAAAAAAAGGAGACTAGCTCTTGTTCTCTCACTGTGTGTATTTTTATCAAATGGAGACATCAGGATGAAAAATATTTCAACTCCTCTCAATAAAAACTCCAACAACTCAATAACAAGCACTCAACGGTTATGGACTTCAATTAGAAAATTCCATTTTAAGCTGAGAAATTTGACACTCCAACAAAGAAAAGCACTTACAAAGCAATTATATTAATTAGCCAACACGTGCCAAAATTTACCACTGCAGCCTCACAGAACAATATCGAGTTCCCAAAGCTGCGGTCCTGCTAAAGCTGCCCTTCCAATTATTCTTCTCCTAGTAGTAGTGGCAAACGATGGAGCATTTTATGGATTCTTGAATTAGCAGCTTTTTATAGTTAATATACAAGGGGAAATCTCTGATGTGATCTCCTTTTGGGGAAAAAAAAGTCCAGACTTTCTTTAGTTCCTTCCTGAGTTTAGGCCTGTGGACTCTGACACCAGGGACTTTTATTATTACAATATGAAGTTTTTGGTAACAATGTTTATACATCAATGATTCTCATCCTGTGAAAAAAGCAGACATTGTCCACAAACTTGAAGGATGTTCAATACAATGAATAATTACTTACTGCTTTATTTTCTACATAATAATCTTTTTCTTATATGTAACTAAATTTTTAAAGTGTTTTATTAATTTATAAGCTTAGTTGTGGGCATCTGTTTTGGCATCAGAACACAGACTGCCTGAAGTGTTGATAGCCTGTGTCCTTAAACAGTTTCTAAGTGTCCTCATAATTGCTTGTCACCTGTAAAAGAGTTTAGATCTGATACAAAATTAACATATGGTGAGCAGATGGACTCAGAACAGACATTTGTCAAGAAACTACTCACACCAAAGACTTTTTGGCTTCAGCCTTTTAGGACCTTCAGAAAAAGTCCTGCTTGAAGCTTTGAGTCATACTAATGAAGGGAACATCTTGCCTCAATGACAACTGCATGTTGTGAAAGCTTAGGATGCTACCTCCAAAGAAGAATCCTTACTTTTCTACTGTGAAAGTCCCTGCATAAAGGGAAAAATAAGATACTGCTTCCATAGAGTATCCACCAAGCCCAAATGTAGTTATCTTTCTAAAATCAAAATGCAAGCAGGAAGTTATCACTCGTTTTTTTAAATTAAAATAATTAAGAAGTTCAGGAAAAAATCTCACCTATGACGCAAACTCTACAAAATACTCCATTACTTACTGAGGAGGTAGGACCAGAGTTGTAGGCTGAGCTTTTGGTCTGCGTTTTGCAGATACTCCCATCTGGTTGGCAGAGCGTTTCAAAGATTGCTGATTCAAAAGGCCAGATGCGAGCCCCGCATGGTACTGCAACTAGATAATAAAAAGACAGAGATTAAAATACTCTGCAGTATTTGTGCCTCTACCCTCTGCACACAAAGACTTGATCAAAACGACATGTCACAATGTCACAAAATGACATTGCGAAATTCTGAGAAGTTCTCACTGCCTGTGGATTTAGGAATCACCACAACACCGGGTGTGCCATTAAACCCAACCTCACGTGCAACAAGTTACAACTTCTATGCAAACAGCTTCAATTCACTTTAATATCTCCCTTCGAATTGCAAGAAAAAAATAAAAAGCTCAAGATTCAGTGTTAGAGCAATGCAGTTCCTTGCGTTTTACTGCCACACCAATGCCTTCATTAAGACCTCTAAAGACTCGTCCCAGGAAAGGTTAACAGTTTTACAAATTAACAAAACTAATCCCGTGACCTCTATAGAGAAAAGGCTGCGAACTCTTGCAAACTTCCAGAAATTCAAGGGCTCTTACACAAAGCTATTCCACCCAGGACTAACATAAAACAAGGAAAACAAAGCTAGGTAAAGCGCTACAAAAAAAAAAAAAAAAAAAAAAAAGAGACTACAAAAGGGCTATAAATTCCAGGGAAACTTTCCAGTGAGCTAATGTGACTGCAGTGCCAACGCTCAGAGCATCCATAAGGGCTTGAGGGGCTGCTGAACCTCTCGGTGGCTTTGCCATGCGAGCCAGAGCGTGGGCAGCTCCTAAGGAGGGCCCAAACGCACGGTCGGGGACAGGAGCGTCCCAGCGGCTCCACTTCAGCCCAGGAATCACACTCAGATTCGTTTCCCTCCTACAGACTTCTGAAATGAAAAAAAAAAGAAAATCAGAAAAATCAATGAGAGCAATGGACAGCGCGCACCTGAGAGGCGATGCTTCAGTGTCAGGGGCTTAGATCTCAATCCGCACTCCCAGAATGTGCAGCTAGCGCAATATGCAGCGGGTATTAGGGAATTAAAGGGCAAAGCTGCCTCGGCAGAGGGCCCTGGGACTCCAGGAACATGTTTTTCCTTCCCTTTTTTGCACCCTATTCAAGGTAGTCCCCGCTCAGCCATTTTGTGCTGCTGACTCAGGTGTGATGGGTATTTCAAACCAAATCCTCCTTTTAGCCACTTGCTCAAAGACAGAGATCTCACGGGTGCTACCCAGAAACTTCCCAATTTAACCTTTTAAAAACATTCAAAACTCCCCGGTCAGCTTGACATTTATATGTCAAGACACGACAAAGATAGGAATTCAAATCAAATACGTATATATTTATATTGCCCTTGAAGGCTGTTTCTCAGTGATTAAACTATTGTTATTAATTACAAGTAAATATATAGAATCTATTGTGCTTACAACTGTCAAAATCTATAAGGGCCCATTAAATATTTAACCGAACCATTTTTATAATGGGATAAAAGGTCAAAGTTAATAAAACTGACAGGCAGCTTCTGTCGAACTTGATTTATACATTATTAAAGTATCGTATTCCACATTCCATAAAATATTTTTGGGTAAGTGGAGATGCTGGCTGGAAAGTTGGGCAATTCTTCCCAAATCATTTGCTTGAGGAGTAGAAACAGGAGCAAAAGTACTTCAGAGTAGCACCAGTGGTATCAGAAATACTCTTAGTAAATAGGCCCAAGATGTAAAGGTACCGTTTGATAGGAAACGGTACAGAGAGTTATTTTTCCACTTGCAAAGCACACATGGGGCTGCCAGGATCAGTCATGACGGCAGATCTTGGCCCAAAACCTACCAAACTATCATGTCATAAAATTACTGATCTTGCTTTGACCTGGTTGAGCTGCTCTTGGGTCTAAAAGACCCAACGCATCCAACCGTTGGGCACTCACGGGACAGGGTTTCCTATGGGATGCTCACCATACATTCCTGGCTCCTAAAACGATCAACAGTAAGGGTTTATCCAAAAAATACACTAAATACTTACTGAACTTGAACACTGACGCACGAGGCTGCATTGCAAATCATTTCTTTATCAGCCACTAGGGAATCCCCTTCATTCAGGGGCTTTATTACAGCAAGACATCCACGTCTCTCAGCGGTGAGGAATTCTGCCTGCTTTATGAGAATCTAAGCTCTTCGCTTCCTAATGAAATACTCCGCTGTAAAACTTCAATGAGACTGATCCTTTTTTTCCCCCAATACATGCAGAAGCAAAGTAAAACCTTCTTCAGAAAACGGGGAAATAAAAAAAAAACAACACGAAAATCAATTTATAACACTTAGCAGCCAGGATACGCACCAGTGCCAACTTGTGCAGTTTGGTGGTGAGTCTCATGATAGCTGGTATTTCTCTTGGAACCGGAGGAGACCCACACATCAAGCAGATGTGTGAATTTCGCATTTTGAAAATCAAAAAAGACATCAGTTCTCAGGGATGTAGGAAAGTTACTGAAAATAACATCTGAATACCCACAAAAGCTTTACTTGAAGGTAAATAAAAACAGGTTACTTCTAAATGCCATTATATCCCAGTTCTTGATTTTTCAATGCTAATTAATGGTGACAGCGTTTATATTTTCAAGAAAAAAAATCACTAATGTCACTAATGCTTTCCAGGTGCCAAAATCTACCTTTTCATGAGGTATTTGAACATATGAGAACTACATTATATAATACTGGCTCTCAAGCGTGCCCGTGAACTGAGCTTTACTGCAATACAGAGACCACTTGGAAGTCCCTTTTGTTCCTTTCAGTTGTAGCAGGGCATTCTTTTCATTCACTTAAAACATCTTGGGCTTTCACATGAACAATTCAAATAGCAGAGGAGTATTAGATAAATACAGTCTGGACTTAGTTCAGTAAGCATTAAGGAAAGTTAGCACAAAATATCTTCCATTTACTCTCTCCTGCTGGCTCTGTTCTTTCCGAAGCAAAGGAACCCATCCTTACTCCCCATATCCCACTACGGATGACCATTACACTTTGGGACAGCCAGAAATTCTGCTATGAGCTATCTGCTAATCAGTAGCATTAAGGCCCCCTCCTAATCGGTAGCATTAAGGCCCCCTCCTTCACTGATACCATTTGTCAAGTTGATATTTTAGCCAACATTGCTCTGCAACACACGTTTGGAAGCTGCACACATGGACTAAATGAATTCTACCTTAAATCTCCTCAAATTAAGGCTTCTGTGTTGGAATTCTGCTAGGTCTAAAGGTCTTCTGCTTGCATAATTCATGCACTGGGGATTTTACATGTGTTGACTGCTGACCAAACAAGTCATTACACTCCACTTACTTACAGCGCCATTTAAAGTTGCAAGGAAAGGAGGCGAGTGGGAAGGGAAATCACTTGGAGCATTTCCACTGATCATATCAACTCGCAGTTGCAAAATTACATTTACATATTAATATTATTTAAAGCCCTTTAAGCACCGATGAGTTTGCTTTAAAAAGTAAAAACAAAAGAATTTTGGTTTTGACCACATTCTTTTGCAGTGGTATTTTTTCCCGAGAATACTTTCATCCAAATATTATAGACGACACAAACTGAAAACCCTGAAAAGGGTTCTTTCAGATTTTTTTATACATATATATATATATATATGTATACATACACACACACACAGATATATTTCCATCTCTTAGCAAAATGCAGTTCTAGAGAAGTGGCTGACGGATACTTCTCCACCATGGAATTTTCCAGCTTTCCATGCAGATATGCCTTCTTTTAAGATGCACAGTATTGTGCCCCATGTCATTAAATTATTTCTCTCTTTCTGCTAACAAAGGCTTCGTCTATTATGATAAAACTCTGGTATTTCTTTTGAAAAGAGCAACGAGCAAGCAAGGACGACACTCCCCCAGTTTCATCTCTACAGCCTAAAGTAGGCAAGAAAAAAAAATTTACACTACTTTAATTGATATTTTTTAAGCTTTTCTCAGATAATGAGGCCAGTTTGGAAACTCTCTTTTTTCTAAACAATGTTTTGATCATTCTAGGGTAGCTGAATTCTTGACTTGGCCAAAACAGCATCAATAAACCAAGAGAGCAGAGTCTCCAATTTATTTACTCTTTGGTTTTCCGCGTGTGTAACTGGGTTGCAGGCTTTTCAATCAGCAGGCAAACAAGCCACCGGGCTTTTGCTCTTGTGTGCAATTAACACACGCTTTTATTTTGGTATTTTAAACATTCATCTCCCCAAACACTTCCCAATTCAGCAATTACCTAAGCAACAAATATCCAACCGTGAGGTTGACGAAGGCTAAACCCGGTTCGTTCTTTAAATCCTTATCTAAGGGGCAGTGCCTCTTTTCCCGGCCCCATGTTCTGACCTAGGAAAGCTGCGGCACTAACGAGCTCCCGTGGCCTCCGAGGCCTCTCGCGGGCACCGCTCTAGGTTGCGTCGCCCTCGGATCCGCGTCGCTTCCCTCCGATCAATGAGTCGGTGCCGGGAGCGCTCCGAGCAAACCCACCTACAAACGCTCCCGCACAAGCAGCCTCGCTCTTCCCTCCGGCCCTTCCTGCCACCTCGGAGCTGGCAGCCTGAAAAACAACTTTAGGTACATAATAATGCTCCTTTTTTTTTTTTTTTTTAACATATCATAGTACCAAAAGCATTGAAGCATTTCTCCATCTGTTTCTTTTCATGCCTTGCCTTCGCTCCACCCTCTGCCCCGTTGCCTTTGAATTCCGGGTTTTGCTGAGAGTGCCGTTTTAATTAGTGCGGGATTTCAGCCTCAAAGTGTTTATCCCGTATCTTTCTTCCCCAAACGCATTGGCATTCTGCTGATGAACGACTGCATCAATAACCCCTCTATTCCAATATTCCTTGCAGATCTTTGGCTTTTTGCCACGTGGAAGATGGCACATGCAGGCGCTTTCTTGAAGGAGCTGGTCAAAGCCTCAGCAACAGCATCAGCATCTTCCTCCCAATAAAATCGGCTGCGCCGTCCAAGGTCTCTGCCAAAGTCACTATTACTGCTCCCACTGTTGGAATCCAGCTGCACTAGTGACACAGCGAAGATTTGGGGATAACATCAACACAAAGGGACACT